TCTTTTTCCTCCGTTCCTCGGTAGCCGGAACATCCTCCACACGTCTTTTCTTCGACCGAGTAACTGGAACTTCTTGCTCTGAAATTACTCCTCGGTCGCCATCAGGCTCATCAGAAGCTATGTCGATAATTGGTGGCACCTCCACTGGAATAGTTTCAACAGCAAGCTCAATCTCAGACAAAGCAATGGTAGCAGCGGCAATAGCAGCCATGGGACCCTCTGCAGCAACGGATAAAGGATCTGGCTGCGTTATCTCGACAGCAACCGTCGACGTCGCGCCATCACCGATATCGGTTTTTGGAGGATTCATAATCGGGTTCTCCAGATAAGCTTTCACCAACTTTTTTCGACCCATTCCTGATAGACGCAGCTCCTTGCTCTTTCCGACTTTAGTTCGGAGGTCGAAATTTGGACTGTTTTGGCGAAAAGCTCTTGCGTCACGAGTGGTCTTGAAACCGAGAACTCCAATAAGAGGGTAATAAACTGCAAATACAGAACTGTTATTATCTCTCACAAGCAACCGACTTCACATAAGATCAAAAATCTATTCAAGTTTACCTGGTTGAAACAAACTATCAAAAATTTCAGGGCAAAGACCAGCAGCTTTCAACCTTGTATTCTTCAGAATCAACTTGAAGCTACATTGAGTTTTCTTTAATTTGAATAATTCGGTAATCCTTTGCTTCAGAGTTGAACTGAGTTTTGATCCCTTACTCTTGGCTGCAAATAACAAAGTGTGGACCTGTTAGTACAAAAACAAGCAGTTAGAACAACTTGGTAAAAAAGGAGAAACAGAAACTTACAAATTGCAGAATTAATATTGATAGGGATTGTCATCCCATCAATTAAAGGTTTCGAAAAATTCAGAGTCTGCCAATCTCCTCCAACCCATAGCCACTCCTCTTGAAATCCATGGAGTGACTCAGGAATGTCGGTTATTAACTCTCAGATTTTCAACCCTTCTTGAGGTTTCCCCGCACAGGCGTAACAAATCAGAGGATCTGCCACTTGTCTGTCAGCACATCGTCTAAATGAATATAAATTTCTGATTTCCTCAACGGTTGGCATGTCCCAACCCTTCTCCTTTAATAGCACCATAAGACCGATAATTCTCTTCCACAAATTCGGCGCTATCTGACACAGGCCAATCCCCCAATTCCTTAAGTAATCCGTGATTAAAGCAGGGAGAGGAAACCGAAGCCCTGATCTTAGTGAATCCGCAAACACGCCGACACAGCCAGGCGGCGGACAAGTAATCCTTTCCCCAGGATAAGGAGCAAATAACTTAACTGAGGAAGGAATATAAATCTCTTCTCGAAGGATGACTATGTCGGCGTCGGTGAGAATACTCGGCTCTCCCCTATATTCGTCAATTGGTTCGGGCCACCGACGAGCAGGACGTCTCCAATAATCAGGAAGCGACATGGCATCCTCTTCAACTCGTTTGTCCTCGTCGATAATACCTTTATTGAGATTCAATTGTTTCACCAGCAGGGGATCCCATCGATAATACTCGAGAGCCAATTCCAAATCCTCATCGGTAAAAATAGGGATATCAGAAATCGTTCGGCTACTACTATCATTCGCTTGAGCAGACATCTCTTCCAAAATTGATAAAAATAAAGAAAAACTCAAAATAGAACAAGAAAACGGGAAAGATTAGGGCAAATTCTTATTGAAATTTCCGAGAACCCTGAATCGAAGAAAAGATCACAGAAAAAGCGAGTGCACGAAGAAAGTATTCAAAGGAAAGATCGCAAAGAACACAAGAAAAAGCAAAGAAGTTTGAGGTACGGAAATTTTTCGCACATCGAAACCGACTGAAATTTATAGGTTTTGATTTATAACCGTTGGAGACATCCAGAAACGGCGCGTGTAACGGACGTGTCCTAAAACAACATAACGTTACAGTAATTATTAGTACACGTGGCCACGTCTTGAAACGCCATGGCGTTATAAATTTATATCCGTTGGACCCATTAAATACGGACACATCTTTTAAGAGCCGCCATGTCAGACCAAGTGCCGTATCAGAAATGTTAAATAAAGTAAAGTGTATTCATGTCGGTAAACAAAGCAAAGCAAGTCGGAATAAAGCAAAACAACAAACGACATCAGCAACTATTCAAAAAGCTTCAAATACCTACTAATGTCGGGGGACTCACTATTGATATCCGACTTAATTGCCGAAATTAAAGACAAAGATTAATCATTATTGAAGAAATAACCTCCCAAGAAGAAGCTCACAGTAAGTCGGTATTATTTAGAATTAATTACCAACTTGTGAAAAATTACCGACTTGTGAAAAATTACCGACTTCCGAGAATCTTCAAAAGAACCGATATCTGAAGCTAATACGAGTACACCGACTTCAGTTCAACAAATATTACGACAAAAACAAGTTCTTCTATGTCGACCGACTACTACAAAGTTCGAATATTTCAACAGAAAGTAATCATTAGAAGCATCTGATTGGACCAACAAAACAAAAAGGCAATCATTGATGTTTCCCGCTGCTTTAAGTGAAGCAGCTCAACATTAAATGCATCTTTATCCATTTCAAGGAAGAAGACAAAAGCCACCGTACTATAAATAGCCGAATTTATGATAGTACGAGGATCTTTTCGAACACATGGTACACGAACTCAAGATGATCTCGGTTTTCAACAAATAACCGACTTCTGTACTCTTGTGATTATAATAAATCAAATAAAATTCAATAATTATCTTTGTTTCCTTTACATCAACGGTACTTGATTTTGAGTTGTTAATTCAAGACAACAACAACCTGCTTCGTAGCGGGCCTAGAAAAACCAGGCCCAGCCCGCCCCTTTGGCGAGGAGGAGCAGGTTGAACCGCAGGCCGAGGCCCATTTTGAGAGCTCTAGCCTTTGCTATGAAAAAAGAGAAAAAGAGGAGAAAAATGTAGAAGGGGAAAGCCTCGTTCGATCCATCGCGACCACGCCAAATCCGTCGCTGATTGACTCCTCCACAACTCAATCTCCAGTTGCTCCAGGACACAATCGAGGACACCGACGCCTTCCGTCGTGAGACCGACGACCTACGCCTCCCCAATGCTGATCTATTTAGACTCGTGGCCCTAATCTTCTGTTTCAATCGGATGATCTCGGAGTTCAACGGTCTCAATCTCACCTCGACTTTGGGGAGAAATTTTTAAGTCAAATATGTATAACGTTTATCTGCAGTAAAAAATTTACAATGTATTCTGGAGGAGGGAGGCGAAGGGTTGAGTTGTGGGTTAGGGCTTTGATGATTAGTCCTCAATTAGAAAAACCAGGCCCAAATCACCCCTTTGGCGGGGCGGGGTGGGGTGGGGCGGGCTAAACTGCGGGCTGAGGCCCGTTTTGTGATACTTTGTGATCGTAAACTACCAGTGAGTTTGAAAGGCAAATTCTATCGAACAACCATCTGACCGAAGATGCTTTATGGATCCGAGTGTTTGGCTACTAAATATGAAAATGATCAAAATGTGCGAGTGACATAGATGAGAATGTTGAGACTGATATGTGGGCTACTAGGTTAGATAACATTAGAAACGAAAGTATTAGAGATAAAGTTGGGGTATCGCCCATAGAGGAAAAAATGAGAGAATCACGATTAAGATGATTTGGGCATGTACGTAGGAGAGACCTCGAGACACCAGTGAAAAAAGTAGAAACATTAGAACTAAGACCGAAAATTAAAAGGGGGGATTAATCTAATAAAACTTAGAATGAGACAATAAAAAATATTTTAAAATATTTAAAGTTAAATGAGAATATGTGCTTTGATCGAGCACGATGGCGTCATGTGGTTCATATAGTTGACCTAATTTAGTAGAATTTTAGTGGCTTGTTAATTGATTGTAGCAAGTTATTTGCCATCATATGAAATGAAAAAGAAAGAAAGAAACATTGTACAAACCTCGGAAATTAGGAAAGGGACAAGTTTTAAGTGAAAAAACTGTATAACTAACATAACCTCCCGAAAACTCTGCTTAATTACCTAGCTTATATAGCCAAAAAGGAAAATATGCAAGCGAAATTTCATTTAGGCCCCAGGAACATTATTGTCATATAAATATAAATTCATAGTTTAAATATGGCCCTAGTTTCATAGCAGTGAACAAGAGTTGAATGAAAAAGATAGCCGTTGGAGGAGCCTAACCTGCAATAATAATTATTATTAAATATTAAATGGGCAGTTCCCAAAACCATAGACATGCGTGCAAAATTAGATGTATGTAGTATGATAAGAACCCATCCACGGAAACTAGCCGTTGCACCCTTTGGATGAGAGAGAGAGAGAGAGATAGTGTTGATAACACCTGCTGCTGACAACTTCTCATGTCTCTCCCCAACAAACACACACAAAATAAATAAAAAATAAAAAAACCTAGTTATGATTTATTTAGATTGGATTCCTTCTATTTATCTCCTTGTTCTATTTTTCTCTCTCTCTCCCCAAGTCACGTGCCCTCTCTGGCTCCTCCTTTCACACTACAAAAACTTGTTGCTCACTGTTCATTTCCTCTTGCTTCTGGGCTCTCTCTCTCTCTAGATAACAAAAGCAAATTCTTCTCTATAATATTTTGGTTATGGAGGAAAATCAGCACATCTCCCATGGAAAGAAGGAGAAATGGAAGAGAATAATCCATCCTCCACACAACCAGCCCACAACTGTAATATTATTATTATTTGTGACGCTACTACTCGTGGCCGCCCCAGCTTCCTCCTCCTCCTCCTCTTGGGACGGCATCATTGTAACGCAGGCCGATTTTCAAGCCCTCCAGGCCTTGAAGCGTGACCTAATCGACCCCAAAGGCTTCCTCAGAAGCTGGAACGATTCTGGCTTTGGAGCTTGCTCCGGCGGGTGGGCCGGAATCAAATGCGCCCAGGGCCAGGTTATTGTCATCCAGCTCCCCTGGAGAGGTCTCTCCGGCACCTTGACCCAAAGGATCGGCCAATTTCAAGCTCTGCGTAAGCTCAGCCTCCATGATAATCAAATTGGCGGTGCAATTCCCACTTCTCTAGGTTTTATCCCCACACTCAGAGGATTACAGTTGTTCAATAACAGGTTTTCTGGTTCAATCCCTTCTTCGCTCGCCCTTCCTCCCCTTCTGCAAACTATTGATCTTGCTAACAATTCCTTGTCTGGGGTTATACCACCTACCCTGCTTAACTCAACTAGGCTTTTCAGCCTTAATTTGAGCTATAACTCCTTGTCCGGCTCAATCCCAATTACCTTTGCTCAGTCCCCATCTTTGCTCTACCTTGCTCTTCAGAACAACTCTCTTTCCGGTAATATCCCGCCTTCTTGGCCTCCTCAGCTGCAGCATCTCAACCTCCGGAATAATCAGCTCACTGGTTCTCTTCCTACTCACATTGTCAATCTGTCAAGCCTTACTGCGCTTGATTTGTCTAGTAATTTCCTGAATGGGACCGTGCCCGATAGCTTTTCCAATTTAAAGAATCTCTCACTCCTTGATTTGAGCAGTAATCGGCTTGCAGGTCCAATCCCGGTCTCCATTGGCACTATCTCCTCGCTTAGGGAGCTCTATTTGTCCCACAACAATCTGAGTGGTGAGATTCCAAATTCTCTAGGGGACTTGCCAAATCTTGATTCTTTTAATGTCTCGTACAACAATCTCTCCGGCCCCGTTCCTACAAACCTCTCCTCGAAATTTGACCCAAGTGCATTTGAGGGCAATCTCGGGCTATGTGGGTACAGCCCCTCGACCCCGTGTCCCGTCTCACCCTCTCAATCACCTCCGCCCCCCAGAAAACGGCATCGAAAGCTAAGCACAAAGGACATCATCCTAATTGTGGCAGGGGCACTCCTTGTAATTTTGCTTGTCATCTGCTGTATCCTGCTGTGCTGCCTTTTGAGAAAAAAGAAGACGAGTAAGGATGGCAAAAATGGGAAAACAGGTGAGGCCAGGGGCGAAAAGGGCATTCCGCCCACAGCGGCCGAGGTGGAGGCGGGGGGCGAGACTGGCGGGAAGCTTGTCCACTTTGACGGGCCATTGGTTTTCAGTGCGGACGATCTGTTGTGTGCGACGGCTGAGATTATGGGGAAAAGTACTTACGGGACGGTGTATAAGGCGACGATGGAGGACGGGATTCAAGTTGCGGTTAAGAGGTTGAGGGAGAAGATGAGTAAAGGGCAGAGGGAGTTTGAGAGTGAGGTTAATTTGCTCGGGAAGATTAGACACCCTAATCTACTTGCGCTTAGAGCTTATTATCTGGGTCCCAAGGGGGAGAAGCTGCTTGTTTACGACTACATGCCTAAAGGGAGTCTTGCTACTTTCCTTCATGGTGAGTTGATCGATGATGATGTTAGTTTGTTTGTTTTTCAAAAATTTGTGAGAGAAGAAGTGTTTGAGATTTTATTATTTCATTGCATTATTATTATTATTGCAGCACGTGGTCCGGACACAGCAATCTCGTGGGGTATGAGGATGAAGATTGGGAAGGGCACGACAAGAGGTCTACAGTACCTCCACGACAATGTGAACATCATCCACGGCAACTTGACATCGTCCAACATCCTGATAGACGAGCACGGCAACCCCAAGATTGCAGACTACGGCCTCTCGCGCCTCATGACAGCAGCTGCAAACGCCAACGTGATTGCCACCGCTGGGGCCCTCGGCTACCGTGCTCCCGAGCTGTCGAAGCTGAAGAAGGCCACCACTAAGACAGACATCTACAGCCTTGGTGTCATCCTACTCGAGCTCCTTACAGGGAAATCCCCAGGGGAAAGTGAAGGAGGAGTGGACTTGCCACAGTGGGTGGCGTCCATCGTGAAGGAGGAGTGGACGAATGAGGTGTTTGATGTAGAGCTCATGAGGGATGCCTCTGTTATTGGCGACGAGCTGCTAAACACACTCAAGCTCGCGTTGCACTGTGTTGATCCGTCCCCCTCTGCACGCCCGGAGGCCCACCAGGTGTTGCAGCAGCTGGAGGAGATTAGAGGAGGAGCCACCACAACTAGCTCAGGGGATGATGATGCCACAATAGTGTAGTGTAACTTTGTTTTTAAAGTTTTTAAGAGTTTAGCTATTTTTATTCTTTCATTCTTCTTCTTCTTTTTTTTTTTTTTTAATTATTATTATTATTATTATCATTATTATTATTTTGTTGGGTGTGTAAATTTTGTTGGATTAGGAATTTTGTGTGTGAGGAGAGAGCATGAATGGATGTGAATTCTTCTTAATTCTGTCCATCCATCCTCACGCGGCAGTTGGAAAATGAAGGTGGAATCATCTAATGTCGTCGTCTCTAATCAAGTGGATAATTTCTCAACACTTTTCTAACTTTGCTGCCTTATTATTTAGTTAACAAGTACCCAGTGATTGAGAATGAATATGATGATGTGTAGTCATTATGCAGTTTTGGTGACTTGAGATAAATTGATGTATCAAAATCCACATCCAATGTTGTGATGATATATAATCCGTTCCCCCATAAAACTTGCAATAAACTCCACCATTTTTGTGTCTTCAGAAGAATAATAAACGTCAAAGATCATTTAAAACCAAAGCATAAAAATTAAAATAATTGAGACAAACAACAGCTCGATAATTTTTTACATACTTTCACCTAGTTTAGATGTCTAAGAAATATAGTGATAATAACAATGGAGAAAGGTAACTTCATTAACACCGTATGACTAGATTGAAACAAATATATGTACAATCTGATATTCAGCTATCGATTTTCTTTGCATATCCACTAGTTTCTTCAGCAACTGTCTCCCATACATTAGCCATCTTCTCAGCATATCCAGCCTGTTATCAACAATCATCAATTTACATCCCAGATGGAACATCCGATTCAGAAGCAAAAATGTGGGACTTGCACGGCCCCACCATCATCTTTACATGTTTCCAATCTTTCTGAGCACACTCCATTTGTGACAGTCAGGAGTGAAGTTCTTAGGAAAAGGGAATGTTAAAAAAAAAAGGCCAGCAATAACATACACATTTGTCGGGAGAAAATAAAACATTTGTTAGATAGAAAACAAAATTCTACCAGTCTAACAGAAAATAACATACCTGATTAACAATGAATCCTTTCAGCATGTTCACAAAATCATCATGCCTCTCCTTTTCTAATCTCTCAAGCTCATTTCTATTATTTTCCTGAATTTAGAAAATTGACATCATCGAGTCAACAATCAATCAACGAAGTAAGTGTGGGTAAGTAAAACATAATTCAGCAGTAGTTTAATGGAACAACAAATTTAGTATCATCCCATTTAGACATATAATCAATCGCTCAAGGTGTTGAACATTTCATTTTTACAGGTTGGAGAAACAGCAATATCAATTTTTGAGTACATCTTATTTCTTGATCTTTTTCTATCTACTGGAATTGAGAGTTTGTCTTATGTTAGAATATCTATTACATATTCTATAGTTACAATATTGTATGTATCTTTTTATTAGGTAGATTGGTCTCATCTGATTTATGTTCATATGGTAGGTAGGTGGTGTATTTTGGTGAATAAATATGGGCAGTTTGCGTACATAATAAGAATTATCTTCTCCTTTTCCATTTGTTCCTGTTCTGAGACGATCTGTCAAAAATAAAAACACAGAAAAAAAAAAAAAAAAGTAGTTTTGAGACGACCTTCCCATTGTCACTTCTGAAACTAAACCTGCTTTGGGAATGACCGTCAAACTCAAAGGCTCAAACTATATTTTGTGGTCACGAGCTTCAAGCTCTTTCTCAGGTCACAAAATAAATAAAATCATATTCTATCTACTGCTCCATCTCCATCTACTGCTCCTGATTCAAAAGATGATGGCTACCAATTGAATGCAAGCGGATTTTTGTATCATAACCTGCCTTCTTAATACATGGAAGAATTTGTTAGCACTAACATTATGGTTTTAAAATTTATGAAGGCGATTCAGGATACAAACTATGTACTCGACAGAAAAGAAGGTCTCATGTGTTTGAACAATAAAAGAAATTGTTCTCTCTGTCTTAAGACGGTTGCTCTGTTAGCGACGACATTGCATCACTGCAACGATCACATTGTATCACTGAAGGCCCCATTGTCATGTGACACCCAACTCGAAGAAATCAATGGAATGTTCCTTGTGGTGAAATTTCAATCGAGATTGGATTCTTCATTTCAGCCTGTTCAATGCATTGTTTTAAAACCCGAACCGGCCCCAAGGGTCGACTGGGTCCTGGGTCAACCTGGGCCGAGACTAGTCCGGGTGGGTTGTTCGGACCATGTAGCAAGGGATCCGATCAAACCCGGTCAACCCAGCCTAGGGTATTGACATGGCCGTGTGAAATCGAGCGTGTAGCAAGGGATCCAATCAAACCCGGTCAACCCAGCCTTGACCTGGTCGACCAGGGTATTGACATAGCCAGGTCAACTCGATTTGACCCAGCTATTTTTTTTTTTTCTTTTTTACCTCTATTTTTCAAAATAAAATTATGTGCATATATATATTTATGTGGTAAATATTTATAATAAAATACAATATTATTAAGACTTTGGGGGTATTAAATTAACATATAAATAATTTACTTTTATTAATTTATGCATAGTTATAAGTTAAAAATAAGATAAATTTAATTTAAAATTTTATAAAATTAATTACCCAGTTCAACAATTGATCCGGTGCACTAGGTGACCCAAAGTCCAACCCGGGTCAATCACCAGTCCGGGTTTTAAAGCTATGGTTCAATGGTGCAATGTTCACCCAACCTTTATAGTGCTCTGTCTCAAGTTCTTGACGACCTGATCCTAATCTCCTGTTGCTAATTGAAATTCTACACTAGAGACTCATGGTTGTGGGTAATCTTGTGGCCGACGTGGTTGTCGTAGTCGTAAAATATACTCATCTAGTTACCTTCGCTATTGCGTTCATTGGACACTTCCTACACTTGGATAACTCAGATGTATATACCTATTTACATTTAGGGGGTAGAATTGGAGAGGTCACAACAACAACAACAAACAACAAACAAGTGGTTGTGTAAGCATCAGCCACACGCACGCGCGCACCCGCCCGTCCGCCGGCCGACCGGCCCGGCTCGGGCACGTGCATGGACTTGGGACTTGGGTCTTCGAACTTGGTCCTTGATCCTTGGAAAGTGGGCTAGACTAGGGCGGCCTTAGCCGTGGCTTGGGCCTTTGGGCCCAGCCCCTATAATCTTTTTACTGCAAATTTATTTGCAATTTTGAAACCAAAGATAGAATTCAAAGCGAGTTGGGTTTGAACTCAGGTTTTGACCCAACCCATGTGAGAATTTCCAGGTACACGTAGAATCTGGACGTGTAACCTTTCACCACCTCACCGTTTCGGTGGTTATGAGTAAAGATGAGTTAACACTAACCGTAGTCGATTTACAACAGCCATCAGTGGGCTATTACAAGCTGAAGCCATCTCCCACCTGGCTGGAAGTCTTACAAATAGGACATTGGAGAAGCTACAGAAGACACAAGACATATATCTAAACATCATTCCGAAAGTCTCACGCATCATAAACATTGCTCAGTTCGTGTTCGTCAGGGCTACAGCTTCCTTTCCTAGTCAACAGCCATTGTATCTTTGGCAACTTTACGCACAAACCTATTAGCACCATACAGAATGTATTTGTCTTGCAGAAAGAGCAACCCTTGCCTCGACTGATTCCCTTCCCGCATCTATTTTTGTGTTTGTTCTTTTCTGTTTTAGTTCAAATTGTACGAACTGAAAACACAATATTCAGTGCATAGGTTACCCGTGTAATTTCGAAACACTATGTTTGTAACACGCCATATGCAATAAGAAATTATCTTCTTATGATTCTATCCTTTCTTTCTCTCACTGACATCTTAACTTTAGTAACATATAGTAATCAACAAAAATCCTAAAGAGGGTTCACCCAAGATGCAAGATGGACTCTAGTGTTATCCCTCAGCTTACATTAAATGATAAATTCAAATTCGTAATTCTATTAGACAGATTTTAGAGGTTTAAGTGACATAAAACTAATCAGAGAAGTGAAAATCACCTCCTAGTCAGTTTTTATATTAAATCATGACATAACTTATCATGCCTTATCACCATATATATACTAATTCATAATATGCCTAGTCTAAGCTTCGCATGCTTTGTATTGGTACAATATCACGCTTCAAAGTGACACCCAATCAGCCATATATGCAACTAATAAATAAGCCATGCAAACTGGGATATTGTCATAAAACATTAATATATTTCCATATTTTTTTCTGAATCACTAATTAATTGAAACAAACTTTTTGTTTTCTTTTCAAACACCACATAACAAATTTATTCATTTTCCTTACGACTTCACCACACATTATACAAGTTTAATTACTCAATTGTATAGTAGATGGTAAACGATTTCGATTCATTTTGCACTATTGCAAAGGGGCACAGAATTTTGATTCATTTTGAGTACCAGGTAGAGTTCATACCTTGATTCTTTCATATTCTCTAACTGCAGAATTTTTAGCATCCTCGGTTACTCTAACAGTTTCTCGCAGCTCTTCTATTTTCCGAATCCTCGATCTATCACCACCAAATATCTTCGACGAAGCAGCTTCTAGCTTCTCTATTCTTGAATGTAATGATGATAAATCAGATAAAAGAGTTTGTACGGTCAAAAAAGCACTTGATCGGTCCGAAAATGCATTATTCACAGCAAGCATCACACCAAGATAGTCATGAAGCTTGTCCTGCATAAAGTTTCCATGAGATGAAAACTCAGCATTAATACAACCAAAATGGTAATGACAAAAAATAACAACCCTATGATTCTACCTTTATATAAAAATCATCATTAAATTACATGCACCTTAGGCCCTCGATTTTGTTAATTTGTTTTACAAAGGCACAAGCAAAAGTAAGAAAAATATAAGCAAAACATGATTGCCCTGAAATAAACCACCAGCACAAAATGCAAACAGAAAAGGAAAGTCCGTACGCATATAAGATCGTATGACAGCAACAGCCGAAATCAATGAAATACGGGGGTCAATAATGAAATGTTAATTAACTTACCAAATGTTTGACAGTTCGAGCATTTAATTCACGATATAATCTACTTGCTTTTACGGAAGCAGTAGCCACATTTTTCATGTCCAAAGCACGCGCTCTTTGGGAATTATAAATAGCTTCCTCTGTTTCAAATTTGGTTAATTTGACAAATGCTAGGCCCAGTTGACCCATTGTTTCCCCGATATCTTGCTGGGCTTTGACAAGTGATTCAGCCTGAAAATGAGAAAGGGCATAAATGATAAGCAATCACAGTTTCCTTAACAAGACCTTTGACCGAAAATCTTGTAAATGAAGATTACAATGTGTCGTATATTACAAAGTTATCTCGTAAGCTCAATATAGTAAGTCATCCAAATAAAATTCTGAAATCAACAACTTAAGTAAAACCAATGAATCAAGCCAACCAAATCCAAGGCTTATCATGGAGAAATATAACTGTCTTAATTAAGGAATAATTCCTAGAGTTTCAATAATCATTTTGGAAATCAAATTTCTAATGCATACGGCCATGCCATCCTGGTTTCACAAATTCATGTTGAAGTAATAATACTTTACGTACAGTCATGTCTTCTGCTGAGGTGTTTGAAGTTAAAAATGTTTTGAATTTTGAATATGGGCAAAAGACAGGAAGTGCAAGCAGTTCCAAACCCAGGTGCATGTATCATCAACTATTGTCTTCCTTTGCTCTTCACCCATAAATTTCCTAGCGACTGAACATATAGCATTATAGAAAAGGCCATTGATTTGATTACTTCAGCATTAGCAATCCACAAGAAACTAAAGTACTAAACTATTAAGCAGTTTTTTTTTTTTACCACAATGACCTTTCCACAAATTTTACAGGAAGTCTGGCAAATCACACTTAAACCAAGGTCTGGGCATCCCAACCAGCAAACACATTAGGCCTTCCTAATCCATCTCATGAATATGCATGCCAGTCATCCAGAACGTCACCATCAATCAATGCAAGTCCATGTAGCCAGAATTTTCATATTATGAATGAGGTTCTACAAATATGCAACAAACAAACAAGGGAAACTTGCAGACATAGTGTAATAATACATCACACCAAGATTCAATTTACAACAGACTAAGCAAAGATTATTAACCTGCTGAGAAACATTCACCAACTGCTGCTCGAAATCCTGCAAATTTTCTTTCCTGTCCAAAAACTCTTTATCAATATCGACAATCGGTGGCTTTGCCCCAACCCAATCATTCGACACCGACTGCTTCAACTCCTTAAACATCCTCAAGAAATCCCTCCCACCCCTTGCAGGCAGCACTGCCTCACTTGTTTCAGCCAGCCCACTATCGAACATTCTTGACGACAAGTCATTCGTCCTTGCCAGCGACATTTTCCCAGAAGTTTCTAGAAACAGCCGCAGTTCCTCGCTCATCCTTATTACAGGGTGTGCGGCAAGACGCTTCAGATATTTCTCCAATGCCGCACGCCTTTGCTCGACAAATTCGTTAGTCTGCATCACCTGGCTCTCCACCACACCCTTATCCGGCCTCAATGGAATAAAAAACCCACGAAAGTTCTCTGCTAATCTATCAGCAAGGGCAACTACATCTCGAAATCGCCTCCTGACATTAAATTCAGTGCCGCTAAATTCTGGCATGTTTGTGAAGGTTGTAATCAAGTATGAAACGTATGTATTTCCTCCCGGGACAAGTGAACTAGATAGCTCCTGCTCCCTCTGTGGATCTGAAACTGAGATTTTGAGGTAATATGATGAAAACGACGGCGATGCCAACGGGGAGAGATCTTGGCCGTTAATATCAGCAGAATCAATTGAATCCAAATCGAAGGATTTGAAAACTGCTTCTGCATAAGAAGGGGGCTCGAGGAAGGAATTGATTGAGCTGTGGCTAGGGTTTGGGTTTTGTTTCGATGGGGGCGAGCTCGGATGATCAGCATCGTCAGTAGGGATCTCGACGAACTGTGAAGATGAAGTGAGTGGGTCATCGATAAACGATTTCGAGCCATTGGATGGTAGCGATGGATCATCATTGGCGAGGATGATCGACGACATCTGCTCTTTCGGCGCGTGGAGATGCGCTTCTTCATATCCCTGGTTTTCGTAGCCCATCATTTTTTTTTTCTCTCACTCTATTCCAACTGGGTGTCCTTTATTTTTCAGGATATTTCTACGAAAATGCAAGATGTTATAAGGGTTGGGATAATTCCTTTCTTTTTTTTTTTTTCGCTTGTAGGCAGAGTGAGACAGAAGACGGTGACGCACTGGTGACGGGGTTTTGAGTATTGAATGATTGATGCTGTTAATAATGAAGGATGTTTATGTTCAGATAAAGGTACGGCAACGACGCCGGAGCTGGTGTTTCGCGACGGTGTTTTTGTGGAGGACGAAATAACAAGGTTCTACGAATTCTTGAAATACCCTCGAAATCGATATTTTTCCTTATTAAAATTTACCAATTATCAATATTAGTATTATTACACTAAAACTTCTATAAATCTATCTACTATATAATTAAGCAACACACTTGTCATTTTTAGAAAGTTTTATGTAGGTCCTACTACACTCTTATTATTTTTGAAAAATTCTCACATTCTTTTACACGTGTTATTAACACACGGTTTGTAAGTTATGTTACACGTTAAAAATACACTCCAAAAACCATAAAAGTGAAATTAAAGTATTAAATTAATCAATTAAACAAATAGTATTATATATATATGCAATATGCAATATATGTAATAAATATTAGATTACATAATCTATACTTATATAAAAAGTCATCATATTTACTAAAAATATTAGGCAGAAAAGTCAAAGTAATTAATGTTTGCTGAAAATAGAATAACATTATTTACCAATTTGTTTTGGTATTTATATATATATCTAGAGTACTATCCAAAACTAAAATTTATATTTTATTGATTCATAGAATCCATACTATCCAAAAATACTAATGGTTGTTACAAATATATATCTAGAATACAAGTAACTAATCTGAAGTTTACATAAATAAAAATATCATTTGATATTAATTTTATTTTTTATATTTTATCCAAAATACTAATAGTTGTTACAAATATATATCTAGAATACAAGTAACTAACCAGATAAGGATTTGAAAAAAATATCCTACTGATAAATATTAATGATTTACTTGGAATATAATCAAACGAAAATGTCATTTAACATAATTTAATCGCTTATTAGTGTAATGATATATCTAGTCAAATATTACACTAAATTTTTTATAATTCTTCTACCATTGGGTTGTTAAAACCAAATATATCTATAATCATAAATCATAATTCCTATTCCTATATGAATTTGAATTAAAATCTACAACCGTATACCAATATTTGAATTATTCATAGAATCCAAAATATCCAAAATACTAAATATATTTGGTTGGACTAAAAAAAATGTACAAACTAATTAATTATTCCGATATGCAGTTAAAAATTAAGATTGATAAGCATGAGATTATTTGTTAAACTAATCCGATCTTTTATAAAATGATATTTTGAATATAAAAGTTATACCAAGATTTTAATACTTCTTAGACTCCACAATTTACAAAATATCGTTGGTTGTTAAAACAATATATCTACAATCCAAGCAACAAATCAAAAAATATATACTATATATTTGCAATAAATCGAAATGCACATTCTAATCACACTCTTTCGGTTTGGTAAAAAAATCGGTATATTGGTATAACAACTCGGTTTCATTTTTAGGAAAAACTAATGATTCTTTTCATTTTTTCTTAATCAAAGTCTTGAACTTTATTTTAAACAAAATAAAATGGCATAAAAATTCCTATAAATCTCTACTTTTTTCCTACTATTTTTTTTTAATAAATAAGATCTTTAACTTTTTACAAAAAAATGTAATTTGTTAACTAATAACTAATAATACGCATTTTTAGATAAAATTCGAACACACATGTAATATTTTACGTGCATAAAATCAAACAAAAAATATTGTACGTAAGGAAGTTCTCAATAATATATAAATTTTATTTTCAGGATATTTTTAATTGCACGAGACAATTTAAATAAAAATATACTTTTTAAAAAGCAAGTAGGTAATAAATGCTCTCGTGCATCGCACGAGCACTGTACTAGTATAAATAAAGAGTATTTCGTAAATACCTCTTGTATTTATTGGTAATATGGCGATAAGATAAAAATATGACTTAAATGTTAAATGGTAGGTAGTTAATTATTTTAGACTTATAAATTTATGTTTATAAAATATTTTGTTTTTTAATACGTAAATCAGTCAAACATACTTAACAACACTAAACAAAGTCCGAAATAAAATACGATCAGAAGATTTTTATTTTTAAAAATATAAGTATTAACAGCAGTCTAACATATGGAAGTTAAAAATACACCCCTTAAAACCATGAAAGTGTTAGAGTAGGGTACCCAGCGTTCCAATCTAATTGGACGTATTCTACTTGTAAATACAGTCTATTGGAATTATATTATGAATAAGGCATTTCTTTATCTTAAGAGAAAGCATTTATCTTATAATTACACTTAAGATAAAATCCCTAGATCACTTATGGTTATAAGGTATGGTTGCGCATAGAGATGGTGATCATGGAACATACCTTGAAAGCCGTGATCTTAAATACAGTTCCAAGTCGATGGATGTTTCGAGATGGGATATCGAATAATCCATAAAAGACTTGCACATAGTTTGTATGCTTGTTGGACAAGAATGTTGCATTCCATCAACATTAGCGTAAGACGTAAGTACATTTATGTGGGTGCTTGTTAGAGAACAAGTTCACTGAACATGACCGTATGAAAATTCTTAATGAAGAATTTATTCAGTCGAATAAGAATTTTCATGTTACAATAGTACATGACTAATCCTAAGACTTGAGGCACAATGGTAACTTTGTGCATATTACATTCTACTTTGATTTATCCTTTTGGTAGCTAGCACTATCGTTTAAAGGGATAAGTTGGGTATTATGTTAATATGTATGGAAGTTTGTTAGTGGCCAATAAAGGATTCGACACTTATGAAGATAAGTGAATTTCCTATGTGTTTCATAGTTATTAATCCAAAGTCCTTGGCCAAGGCAGAGATGAATAGTGATTCATAACCGGGTTAATAAACATGAAATAGAATCATAGTTATTAAGTCAATTTGGGTTTCGACAAAATCATACCCAAGACTTAATCGGGAAATTAGATGTCGAAAGGATTTTACATGTATGGAGTTGTAATCGGAATAGGTTTACTCGCTATTCACTTAATACTAGATTCATGCTACTTGCTAGGTGTTACCATGATATGTGGGTTCATAAATTAAAGGGTTAATTCATGAATAAGAGTTAATAAGATTTAACTCAAATTACAAAGTGTTGTAAACCCACTACTAGTATTAAGGTGAACCTAAAAGGTCACACTAATTATGAACAAAGGTAAAGATTGTATTTCTAATGGTTAGAATTAATTGATAAATATCTAATTTGATTAGATATCAATTAAAGGAATATATTAATCAATAAGATTGATTAATTACATTTTGGATATTACTTTAGTAATTAAGGTAATTACTAAATTAATAAAGTTGAATTTTAAAATAGGATTTTAAATTTCAAAAATCCAAAATAATAATAATATGATTATTATAATATTGGGAAAATGATATAATAATAAAGTCTTGAGAAAGATTCTCAAGATTTATTATCCAATTATTATTTATATCTTTAAATATGATTTAAGGATTAAAATAATAAATATGATTATAATAAAATGGTTGTTGATGGTTGTTTGAACTACTTAACATATCTTATTATTTTCAAAGTCAAAAGTTAGTAAATACTATTTAAATAAAATTTGATTTTATTTAAATATTACTAAATGTTGATTATTTTATGCTAAAATGTTTAGTATAAATATGTGCAAAATGGTTTTGCATTTAAGTGAAGTTTTTGATCCTAAATTTCTAAGTGTTAGAAAGAGAAGAAAGTGTTCTTCATAAAACTTCAAGAAAGAGTTCTTAAAATTCCCAAATAAAATTCATAAATATTCCTATACAAGAAAACCGAGTCTTTTCTACTAGCGAAGGAAAGTCGTCGGAACCGGGCTTCATAGGGTGGATACGTTTAGAGGGAAGACACTTGGATTCCTCTAGCGAGTAACCTCAAGTCGTTGAAGTTACAACCGGGAACCGATTCCCTCATCCATCATCAATAGTGAAGGAGTTCAAGAAATTCGGTAAATATTTTTACTAGTATTTACTTTATAGTAACAAATCAAAAATTTGTATATGATGCATGTTTTAAAGATGACGATCAGTTAATTCGCAATTAGTATGTACGGGTGTTGTATTTATACGATAAATACTTACTTTAAAAATTTTAAATTCCGCTGCGTACAGCCCGTACGGTACTATCGAACCCAACAGAAAGTTAGTTTGGAAATTAAAGTCAGATAGAAGTTAACACGCGTTTTAAGTTTTGTTAGATGTTAAAAATACACCCTAAAACCATGAAAATGTTAGAAGTTAACACACGTTTTAAGTTGAAAGTTAAAAATACACCCCTAAAACCATGAAAGTCAGTTTGGAAATTAAAGTCAGATAGAAGTTAACACACGTTTTAAGTTTTGTTAGATGTTAAAAATACACCCTAAAACCATGAAAGTGTTAGATGTTAAAAATACACCCTAAAAGCATGAAAGTCAATTTCGAAGTTAAAGTCAGATAGAAGTTAACACACGTTTGTAAGTTATATTGTTAGTGGCTTGAATAGTGAAAATCATTTTTTATTTAGTAAGATATATATATGTTGTAGTTTATAAATACGCAATTGATTATTCATTTATGTACCATCACATTCACATCTCTCTCACATTTTATTCAAACAATTGCTTACACACTTCTAAAGAAGGTATTAAAAACAGAATGGAGTGTCAAAGTCCGTGTGATGCGATATTATGAAAGGACTGCTTTCAAGATCGAAATACCGTTATCTAGAATTGATAAAACTACTATGGCAAGATTGAAGATAAATTTTATGGTGAAACTTCAAATAAAAATTTTCCGAAGTTTATATATAACTTCAAATATTTTACCGATTTGGCTAAAGGCTCCGTTTGTAAGGACTTATTATTGGTCGGTAATTATATATCTTATGCATATCAAAAATAAAATATATATTTTAGTTATTGATGATTAATATGTATGAATGCCATGCCTGAAGAACTCTGTATTTACGCATGACCAACTTTACGTCGCTGTTTCACGAGTTACAAATGAGAAATGATAGAAAATATTAATTTGTGATGATAAAAACATCTCAAAACTTTATGTCGCTGTTTCATAGTTACAAATGTGAAAGGATTGAAATTATTAATTTGTGATGGTAAATAGAGCTCAAAGA